CCACATTGGCATGGGGGGTGCCTGGGTAGGGTAGGAGGCTGTAATCAGCAGGCAACATTTGAGACTCTAGCCCGAGGAGAAAATCAGCAGGCAGGACTTGTAGTCCGTTGGGTGGGCCCCTGCCAATCAGGCATCTTTTGGGCTCCCAGGTCAGGTAGGGTCCTGCCACTTTGGCATTCAGGGTACAACCCTGCCACTAAGGCAGAACTTGACCCGAGGAGGCTGGAATCAGCAGGCAGGATTTGAGAATCTAGCCCAAGGAGGCGACTGGAGTCAACAGCAGGCAGGACTTGGTCAGAACTTGGCCCGAGTAGGTGACTGGAATCAGCAGCAGGCAGGACTTGGTAGGAACTTGGCCCGTCAAGCCTGGAATTGGTGGCTGGATTTCTGACTGATGAGCAGGTTTACAAGCTGGAAGGCAAGTAGGCAGGCATTTTTTTTCAGGAGGACTGGTAGGTGGGCAGGCAGGCTGGCGGGCAGGCAGAGAGGCGGGTGCACTGGCTGGCAGACATGTTATAGAGCCATTGGGCCTCAGGCAGGCTGGTAGGCAGGCGGTATGGTAGGGGAGAGACTGTCATTGGCACCCTACCTCTTTGGGTTCAGTGAGAGGAAGCCCAACAAGGGAAGGTTCACCTTGATGAATCACAGTCTCTCCACACTAATGGGATCCAAACGCGAGCGGCAGTGGCAGAGTATGTCTCCAAAATGGGAGAACACGTGCTCGCTCTGGACGCTGGTGGGGGGAATGGAAGGCAGTTCCATGGCCACATTGGACAACTCTGGCTTGCCATATAACCACACAAAATGTCAGTGGTTTCTTGGAAATGCTTGAGCACCTCCAGCATCTGAGAAAGGGCCAGCCAATCCGTGGCACTCAGGCCCACCTCTCTCACCCTGGGCAGAATGGGCATGGAGGACATGATGTCCTCCAAAACAGCCTTCTGCTCCACCAGCTGGGACACCATGGTGTAGGTAGAATTCCACCTGTTGGGCAGGTCTCTCAGGAGAACATGGGTCTCCTGACCCAACTCCTCCTGCCTCTCATGGCAACTGGTGGGCAGCTTTCAGCCTGCAGGAGATGTGGCCCACCAGCTGGCAGCATTGCTCCAGGACTGCCCACATCTCCCAGATGCCTGCATCCCATATGGACTTGATGTGGCTGCCGAGGCCAACAAGGTGTAATTTGTGCGCCATGCATACGTTGCCCTCAAAGCCCGTTCAATGCCGCCAACATGTTCTGCCCAGCATCCATGACCATGTGGCCACGGATGACCTCCCCCTCCAGTGCCCACTCCTGCAGCATGGAGAGTAACTCATTGGTGATGTTCCTCCCCATCGCCTGAGCTTCCATGTGCTGCACCTGCAGCAGAACAGACTTGTAGCCTGGGGGCAGGCCTCCCCCTGTGGCCCTGTTGCCAATGCCCTGCAACTCATCAAGTCCTCTGGCTGCCACCAGTGGGCTGTGAGCAAGAGGTAGCCATGCTGACCTCCTCTCCACAGGTCCACAGTGAAGTGCACCTTATGCCCCTGTACCTGTGAAAGATGGTCACGGACCACCTCCCTCACAGAGTCATGGAGCGAGGGCTGCACTCTAGACTGAGGGTTCTCCATGAGGGGAGGTCATACCAGGGAGCAAAAAACTGCAGCAGCTGGCAGAAGGCCGGGACTTCCACAGTGGACAGTGGAAGTCTGAACAGGGCAATCATCTCGGCAACTAAAATGTGACCTGGCCCCACCCCCCGTGTAATGAAATAAGAAGGAATTTAGTGAAGGTGCTTTGGAAGAACTCAGAACACATTCTCAACCACTCAGGAATTAAATTAGGAAAAGATATTCCACACAGTCACACACCAAATTCTGCCCCACCCGCTCTGTGCTTGAACAAAAGCCTCCAAAAATAACTAAGTGTTTTAAACTTAAAACCCTGCCAACTAAGTCTCAGAGACACACAGACAACCACTCAGGAATTAAATTTGGGGGGAAGAGATTCCACACAGTAACACATCTAATTCCCCCCACCCACTGTGAACGCAAGCCTCCAAAAAAGAAGTAGCCTAAGCTAACGGAAAGCTTCTAAAGAAATCCCTCGCCAAATTGCCAGTAAAGTTGTACTAATGAAATAAATGAAAAAGAAAAAGAAGTGTTTGCTTTGCTGCCCGAGAAGTGAAAACACAGCCACAAGAATGGCACAAGCACCAGCCAGCAACTGTTTTCATTCTGGAGAGAATCAGAACAGAAGTGGGAAATGGCTGCAGGGGGAAAGCTTATAAAGCTTCTGTAAAAGTTACACGCTCCCCACAGCAGTGCTATTGGCTGCCTGACATGCCAATCCAGGATCTCCTAATTGGCCAGAGCTTCGAGAAGTGAAAACACAGCCACAAGAATGGCACAAGCACCAGCCAGCAACTGTTTTCATTCTGGAGAGAATCAGAACAGAAGTGGGAAATGGCTGCAGGGGGAAAGCTTATAAAGCTTCTGTAAAAGTTACACGCTCCCCACAGCAGTGCTATTGGCTGCCTGACATGCCAATCCAGGATCTCCTAATTGGCCAGAGCTTCTGATTGGCACCAGGAAGCTCAGAGATGGCATAGAGAGACCCCAAAAAGGGTAACGAATATAGAGGGATTGACGAATAAAACTGGGAAAATATTCATCGTCGTATTCGTTGGGACTTAAAATGTGACAAATACGGATTGACGAATATATGACGAATCAGCTATATTCGTAGAAAATAGCGATTCGTTTTTATATTCGTCCCCACTATTTCTATCACCTTTTAGTTCTGCTTCTCATCTGTCCTTCACAATCTGAAATGTTTCTTCTATCTGTCTAGGCTTTTTTTTTAATTACAGGAATTATTACAGGAATTGCCTTTTATGTATTATATTTATATACAATAATATCTCTGGGTTCAATTTGCACGTCCAACCTGGAAGCCTCATCTTCCAGTGCTATCTCTTGTTTCATTTTGGACTGTCTCATCATAGGGTCTTCAGAGTAGGAAAGTTGTACAGCAGTTTATCACTTCCACCTTTTGTACAGTACTAACAAAAGTTAACTCATGGTCAATTGACTTTCATAAGGCAAATCTGTTCCTTATTTGGACTTTAAATTAATTAGGAATGAATCATGAATAAATTTATGTTTAATGTATGAATTTATGTTTGAATTATATTTAGCACTATAATTCTTTTAGTGCTTTTTTCAGTTTTACTCTAATGTTGACTATTAACAGTTCATTACCAGTACCACTATCTGCTCTTGTTTTGGCTGACATAAAGCAGCTTCTCCATCTTCTGCTTCCCATTATGTAATCTATTTGATTTCTTTATCAACCATTTTGTGATTTCTACATGTACAGTTTGTTTGGTTGCTTGAAGTATGTATTTGCAAAAAATAGATTGTTGGCTTTGCAGAATTCTATGAGTAATTCTTCTCTTTAATTTCTGTCCCCTAGGCCGAATTTTCCAAAAACATTTCATTCTGCTTTGTTTCCTAATTTTCTGTTCCAGCCACCTATGATTATAAGCATGCTTTGTTTTGGACTATGCTCAGTTTCCTCCTGGATGCTTGCATAAAAGCTTTCAGTTTTATCTTCATCAGCATTTGTAGTTGCAGCATAGGCTTGAATGTTGATAGGTTTTTCGTGGAATCTGACCGATATTATTCGGTCAGAACTTGTATTATAGCCCCTAACTGCCTATGCTACAGCTTGCCTCAGTATTAAAGCCACTCCATTTCTTCACAGTTTATTATTTCTAGAGTAGAACATTTTGCAGTTGACTGAAAATATCCTGTTCCAGTGCACTACCAATAAAGGACTGCAATGTTTATACATTTCATTTCTAGCTTTACAGCTTCCAGTTTACCTTGATTCTTAATTCTCATGTTCCAAGTTTGTATTGTGCAGCATCAGAATTCCCCCTTCACTTCTGTACATGTCAGCCACTAGAAGTCCTTTCAATTTTAGTCTAGTTGCATCATTTGTGACAGCACTATTCATACTTGTCTTTTGTTAGTCCCCAGTAGCTGACAAGAGTGCTTTCTGACCTGGGAGTTTCATCTTCCAGCACTGCGTTTTGTTGCATTTTGCACTGTCTCATTATATGGTTTTCATAATAAGTAAAGTTCAGTGGTGGCTTATCCCTGCCACTTTTTGTAATGTACTAAAGTTAGTTTGAGTGTCATTGTGGTTGTCTCTGCTGTCAGTGCCACCTTCTGCTACTGCTGCCCCCAGTAGCCACCACTCCCAAATCCACTGAAACTATCTATTCTCTTCTGCTGATGTGACTGTTCTATCGAAGATGATGGGTACATTTTAGTCTGATGTCTCAGCTGTGACCATTCCACCTTGGATGAACCTGCTCGGCGTCCAGGCTCCTAATGCAGTCTGGCCTCCTAAGTAGTAGTTTTAGAGAGATACCCATGTTAGTCTGTGCTAGCATATCGGGCAAAAACAAAATTAAAATTAAAGAGGACAAAAACACTGTGGCAGCTTAAAGATTAACTGCTTTATTTTAATATGAGCTTTCTTAGAAAAGTCTCCTTTCTCCTGAGGGAATTGCTGTCAGCTATACTGACAGACTCAAACCCCTCCCCCAAGTTAAGGTGTACATCCAGGAAAGGGACAGCCAATGTACAGAGACTCTAAAAGGGTTTTCAAGGTGAGACATTTAAGCAGGCATTTCATCCGTTCCACCACCCGCGAGTTTCCATGGCCAAGGATGGAGTGGACACGGGTCTCCTGCGCCCTACCCCATCCCCCACCCAACCCTGTGTAGCCGTGAGACTATTTATATGGCAATGTGTGAGGCGTTTTTTGGACTCTTATGGCGTATTTGCACACGAAAGCAGAAGAGGGCTGGTTTCCAAAGACGGCGGCTGCTGGCCTACCGAGGTAAACGCAGTGTGAGCCCCCGCCCCGGCGCGGGCCCCATCTCCGACACCCGTAGTAGCGGCAGCGACGGCAGGTCGGGACCGCGCGCGGGTGTGGAAAAGGCGGAGCCGCAGGGAAGTAAGAGCCCAGTGGCGCCACCGCTCGTCTGGCGCGCCTCGTGGTTGGCTCCTTCGGCCTGGTACCCAGAGGGAGGCGGAGCAAAGGCGCGGGAGCCGCGGCAGCATCATTATCCCTCTGAGCTTCTGGAGCGCTACGGTCCCTTCCGTTCTAGCTGTCGCCGCCGCCGCCTCCTCCTCCTCCTCCTCCTCCTCCTCGGACTATGGTGGTGTCTTTGTGAGGAGGCCGCCGCCGCCGCCCGCGCTCCGTCTCCTCGTTGGCGCGGTCTTCCTCGCCGCCTCGTCACTGCTGCTGTAAGGAGGAGCTGGCGCAAGGGCAAGGGGGTTGGGGCCGAGAGGGGCCCCGGGAAAGGCGAGGGCGCTCCCTGACTGCAGCGCGGCGCCCGGCAGGCGCCTAGCCATGAGCCGCACGTGTGGGATCTAAAGCCTGCCCTTGGTGCCCCCGCCGCCGCCGCCGCTGTTGCTGCTGCTGCTGCTTCTGCTGGAAGAGCATGCTCTGTACCCAGGCCGGCTTTCTCCAGGTAAGGCGCAAGGCGCACTTCCCCGTCGTCGGCGCTGCCGCCTTGCTTTGGCTTGGCCCTTCCCAGGGACTGCTGCTGCTCCTTTCCGGCGCTCCTCACCTTAGCCGGCATCCTTCCCTCCGAGAGTGCCGCTCTTTCCCCCCGACGAGAACGAACGGCCAGCAGCTCCTCTCCTTCCTCCTCGCCCACCCCCGGGAAGCTTAATTGGACTCTTGGCATAAGTCACGGAGTGCTGGGTGTTGTGGCGGCTTCGGGTTCCTGCTCTGCAGCATCCCGCCCCCCCCTCTCCGCCGCCAACGGTTTGGGATGGGGAAGCGTTTCTGAGCGTTACGAAATGACTCCCAGTGGGAAGCTTCGCTCTGCTTGGCTCGGGGGTGGCGAGGGAAGCGGTGGCTTGCTCGTTTGCAAAGTAAAAAGGATCTGATTGCCTGTGAGGAGGAGGAGGAGGAGGAGGAGGAGGAGAACATGAAACGGGCCCTCGGCTTCGTGAGTTCTGCTGTGGGTGATGGGAATGGGTCAGCCTTTGTCAAGTCGTGAAATGCCCTGGCCAGTCTTCCGCCTTTCTTTGGTTGCACAAAGAAATTTGTTTCTTCGTGTTAGGGAAGGGGATACACCAGCAAAGGGACCGTGTGCCACCTGACAGCAGAGGTGTAGTTTTTACTCCTCCATTGACACATGACTGAAGGTGGAGAGCAGGGAGGGTTTTGTTTATATGCGCAGGATGCAGTGTTTGTTTCAGAGCGTTTTGAAGCCATGCACGTTCTTCCCCTTATTTTGTCAAGCTGTTGAGAGAATTGGTTATCCCACCTGCCTATGCAGGAGGAGCTGTCTGTTGCTGGTAGGGAAGAGGGACAAAAGGCAGTGTGCGTGTTTTCTTCACATTCAGCAGCTATGTTTGGTTTGGTGCTTTACACCAATGGACCTGTCACAGAAACTACCCCTCCCCAAAAAAGAGAAGCACAAGGAGATCCTTTCTTAGTTCAAATTAATTTGACAGTCTTGCTGTAATCCCGTATTTTCTTTTTTCTTTCTTTTTTGATACTTGGATTTCTTTAAATAGTCTGTGACTTGGTGTCAATGCAGCATATGCTTCATTATCAGTGTGTTGCTTCTTTCCTCCCTCCCCTCCCCCACCCTTTTTTAAGTTAATGAACAGCAGGTTTCACTGAAGGATAAGTACCCTTTTTGTGGGTTGCTTTCATATGCAGCTAAGGCAACTGCAGTCTAAGACTGGTGGTGCAACTGGGAATAATGCAGCTTCCTTTCCTTTTACAAAAGTAAATCTTTTCTCATTGGAGAGCACCAGCATTTAGACACATATAAGGAGTTGATTGTCTGTCCATTTTAGCCATGTATGGTGTTTCCCTAAACTGAAGCATTTGTTCATTCAGCCTGGTTCAGGCTGTTTACATTCTTTTTTAGAACTGCAGAGGCACCCCTGTTATGCTGCACTCAGCAGAAGTGCAGAGATACTGTACAGCAGTCACTCAGGCTAGAAGGAGAGCCATTCCCATGGCTGTCCTTGCTGTTTGTCTATGTTTTTATTAACCTGCCATCTGATTCAGTTGGGTACATCACTGGACCAAAGAGAACAGCGTTTGAGGCAGGAAAACTGCTATCTGGAAGAGGCAACATAGCAGGTGGTCAGCTGTGCTTTGTTGAGCAGTTGAACATATGAGGATTCAGGTTATTACAGTAATTCATTTTAGCTGGGGGATTCATTTGACAATTTGGATTTTCCACTAAGAAGGGATTATCATTTTCCTTCTCTGTGTGCGCGCGTGTGTGTATGTGTGCGTGCTTTGTGAAAAAACAGAGTACAGTACAGCATGTGTCTTGACTGCTGTCTCTATACCTGCTATTGCTATTTCCTTCAAAATGCACACATAATTATTTTTAAATAGTGTGATGTTTTTATTATTCCTGATCTAGGTAGAATTATATTCAGCAAGTTATACTCAGTAAGTGGTGTACTTCATTTGAAATCCTAGCAGTGGTTTGAAAAGACACAAAAAAATCTGGTTCAAAAACATGCTGTTTGTGTTTCTAGCAAGAACACTAAGGCACTTTTCTTTGCTTTTTTATTATGCCTTTAAAAGCTGCATAGTTGGTTGTGAATACCTGTTTTTTTAAAAAAGCTATTTCATGCAGACTAGTGGTAATCATAATTTGAAAAGTTTGGAAATGGAATTGGGACTTATTCAGAGTTGATATATGTTCCATTTTTGTCTCAAACTAGGAATACGTATATACTGTACAGGCATTACAAAAGTCAATATTTTTTTCCCACTGAATCCCAATTTTGAGTACCGTGTTTCCCCCAAAATAAGACAGGGTCTTATATTATTTTTTACTTCAAAAATTCATTAGGGCTTATTTTCAGGGATTTTTTTTAATGTACAACAATCTACATTTATTCAAATACACTTATGTCATCTTCTGGTTGCTGCACAGTGGTCGAGGGTGGAGTTTCACTTAACTAGGGCTTATTTTTGGGGTAGGGCTAATATTACGAGCATCCTGAAAAATCATACTAGGGCTTATTTTCAGGGAAACAGGGTAATTATCATAAACACTGTTGTAATTTCTCATTATGCTAAATGTGAATATGTAACATATAAATGTCCCAACAGACTCAGCCAGATAGCGTATGCACTTTTCCTTTCCCCACAACTGTTTGCTTAGAAATCCTACCCCCTACAACTCTTTTGTGTATACCTTATTATTTCAAAATGAACTGTGCCAAAGTTTAGGGCAGATGTGATGCTGAGAGCAATTTCTCAGGTTCGTAGTTTTCAAACTACAGTATGTTTTACGAAATTCTAAGTTCATTTGTCAGTAATTAAGGACAGTTTGCCTATCAGCACGTTATGACTCTTCATATTCTATGTGCAGCTGTAGGGGAGACTTGTGTATGTTTCAGGATATATTCCAGATCATGCTGTAATTACCCCAGAGCGATTCTAGTAGACACAGAAATCTTGAGTCTAGCAACTGGATACTCCTGAGTGTGGATTCCTGCAGTCTTGTGCTCTATCATCCTTGCTCCATAATACGGACAGCAGGAGGTCTTGGAGAAGTGACAGCATGCTAGAGTCCCAGAGAGAAGACTTCTTCTTAAAGAAGTAGTGAGCAACTTCCCAGTGGTGCGACCATTATCCCACATCAAACACACCCAATCTTGTGTGATTTTGGAAGTGAGACAAGGTTGACCCTGTTTAATACTTGGATGGGAGACCACCAAGCAACACTAGGTATGTCAAGCTAGGTCTAGGCAATCATCTTTTCAGAAAAGAGTAATTACTGCCCATTAGAGTTGACAGTACTGGCTAGAGGGACCAAGGGTCTGATTCAGAATAACATAATTCCCAAGTTCTTGTGAGGGGTCACATTGGACCCTCTTACACTACTGCTGCTGTACTCCAGTGAGTGTTGCTGAAGTTTGCCACTGAAATACAGAGAAATGGCAGGACATTCTACTGTGCCACATAGAGCCTTGCATACTCACAGAGCAGAGCCATTTCTTTCCCATCCATGTAGATAGAAGACCAAATAGAAGGATGTTGGGAAATAAGTCTTTCTGAAACCAGAGAACAGCGAACTAGAAACTGGTGCTGTCAGCAACATTGGCAAATGGAGGCTGTGGTCTCTGCAAATATACAAGAAGTTAGCTATTCCTTGATTTCTAAAAGGCTGCCTCAAACTGCCCTTGTTTTCAAGAATATTGATCTTGACTGAGCCCTGTCTGTCAGCCCTTTTCCTGTCATTCTTCTCTTTGTACTAGACCACTTGCAGAACCTGCATGTTGCTCACGTAGGATGGCAAATGAAATGCATCAGACTGGACCAGTGATTGATAACCAGTATTATACTCTGCCCATCTAGTACCTAGGCACTACTCTAGGCAGCTAGCAGCAATAAAAACACAACTAGCCACTGTAGCCCACAGAGATATAAATAATGAGATCAAGACCAAAACAGTAAATATCAGACCACATGTATACCCCACAGTGTGCCCTGGAATCTGTTTTAATGCTGAATAGCATGGCAAAGCTTGAAAATCACTATACTGTACTTAGTAAAAATAGTGCATAATTTCAGCAAGAGAATCCTCTGTGTTCTTTTCCTCTTGCTTCAGGTTCTTTGTTTGCAGTACAGTATATCAGAACAGGCAATCTGCAGCCTTTCAGATGCTGTTTTATTCTAACTCCTATCAATTTTAGATATAATGTGAAGTGGTCATGGAAGGTGGGAGTGAGAGTCTAATGTCTGGAAGGGAAGTTAAAGATTGTCCACTTATAGGCTGAATGCTTTAGTCAGTTGTCTGATCAGAACGCCATAATTGTTCTGGGTTTGAGGTTACTTGATGCTACATGGCTCTAAAAATGCTGATTAGCAGCATGTTTTTAACAAGGCTAAACAATAAGCAACTGCAGGGCCTGGGGTCAGGAGTTCAACTCCCCACTGTGCCTTGCAAAAGCGCCAGCCTGCGCAAGAGGTCTTGAGCAAGCTGTACAGTCCCAGAGCACCCCTAGAAGAAGAAGGGCACTAAGCCATTTCTCAGTACTGTATTTTATGCCTGGAAAACTCTGAGAATGGTCATCATCACCCAGAATTGATTTGATGGCATGCAATTATTACTTATTATCTTTTTCAGCACAATATTTATTTGTTTATTTAAAATATTTTGACCTCACCTTTTTCCTTAAAAGGTCCCAAGGGCCGCTTGGGTCCTTTTAAGACTGGTTTTCTTAAGCAAGGTCTAATCTTTAAAAACAAGCACAGAGGAAAAAGAAAGAAAAATTGTATCATTCAGGAATTACCCCTGTGGCCCAAGCCACATATGACTGCATTGGAGCTCTGCTTATGCACATTCCCTTGTGTATGTGCCTGCTTAAGAATGTGTAATGGAAGAGTTCTGCCAAATCATCTGCTCCTGCTCTGGCTATGGAAAGTCAAGAGTGTTTAAATGCCATTTCTGTGTCTTTAAGCTCACCTAGG